AAATAATATCGAGCTCGCCAGCACCGATGATCTGTTTTTCCAGTAAAAAATAACGATCGGCATCTGGCAAGGTCGATGGCGTCGACGACAGTTGGGAGACGCCTGAGAAATGGAAGGCCACTTTCCCTTTCTCTTCGCTTTTCAACAATGCTCTTCGAGACTCTTGAGTTTCAGTGAAATAAAATTATGCCACACATCATTTATATATATATTGTGTATAAAAGCATCGACTTGTGATTTCGATGCTCAATTCAATTAAAATTAACGCACGAAACAATATGAATATATGTATAACGTACAATAATAATGACTGTAGTGATACTGTGAACAGTTACTTTAATAATTGGGACAAGCTATCAAAGACTGTTGCATAACTGACACAATAACTCGAATCACACACATACATATAATCAACATTTTCACCAATAGACACCAATTTTCTACCGCTCCTTCCTAAACTACGTAAAGAATGTAATAGGGTACGATGAAAAGTTTCAAAGTTGTCCTGCTCGACGAGTAAATACATCCTGCTTGTTATCATAGAATTTATACCGAAATCAAGCATGACGTTCCATCGTTAGCGACGAAATTATTTTATTAACGCCCGATTAGAATACCGGCGCTTACGTTGGCAAATTATTACATAAATATCGAAAGGTGTTTCACTAACGAAAGTAAACTTGCCAGATTAAACGCAGATGCCGGGAATACGAATATTTCTCGAACGCCTTAAACTCGTTAGAGACGTTAGATACCGATAAGCAACAAGTTACGCTCAAGCACTTCCGTATAGTTTAAACATCTATCAGTAAATGAATTTCGATGCTCTGTTTTTCCAGAAATGTATGAAATCCTATTGTAAGGGAGAAATTAATTGGAATGTACGAATTATAATTATTATCTTCTCTGTCATGAGTGATTCTGGTTAGAGGTGACGGAAAATTCCAAGGAACCTTATTAAGGTAAAAATTCCTGTCCCCAATGTAGTATCTACGCACATGACCTTAGAGTGAAACCACGTATTCCTACTGCTTCATCCCGATGTGTTCGTGATACCAGAAGGAAGATTGCGCAACGCGTAGCCGTATTATATGATTCTCTCCTCTCGACTTGTCCCGCAACCGGCGATCAACTCAGCTGTGCGTATATGTATGTACATAAGTAGTCGCGGTAAGGTTAAACTCCAGTGACATTTTGGACGACTT